AGGAGGAGTGTGGGAGGAAGGAGAGGGAGTGTAGGAGGGGGGGGGGGAGGGGGGGGAGGCAGGGGGGGGAGTGTTGCTCGTGGGCCGAGTGCTCGATGCAGTCATCCTTCGCAAAAATTCCGGCCTTCTCTGTCCCTCTCACCCTTAGGGACGGGTATGGGCGGCGGGCGTGGGTGCCGACATGGGTGCGAGGAGGGCGGGGAGGGAGAGAGAGAGAGAGAATGTGTGGAAGGGAGTGAGGGGAGGGGAGGGGGGAGGGGAGGGGCGTACAGGATTCGGGAGGGAGAGAGTGAGATGTGGCGTGCCGAGTCTGGACGGAAGCAGGGAACGAGGTCGGCTTGTGGGGGGCTGGGGTGTGCGGGTGAGTTGTCGGTGAGTGTGAGTTTGTCGAGTGCGTCGGGTGAGTGTCTCGGTGTGGCCGGAACGACGACTGGAGGATGTCAACCCATGACATCAGCATGCCACACCAGTATGCGCAACATGGTGGCTCATTGTGCACATCTACGCCGTATACGTGTTCATGCACTGGCACATACGGTCTAGGAGGGGGAGACTGCGTTAAGATGGCGGTTGCTGCCCCAGGATGCCCGGCATGGTTCGGAACCGCCATCAGTCCGCCGTGTCCGACCCAGTGGTGTGAGCGGTGTGTCCCAGACTGACCCAACCCCCAGCAGCAGCGGCAGCACAAAACGCGGCGGCTCTGCACGCCACCGCCTCGCCATCGTCGCTATACACACACACACTCTCTCTCTCTCTTTCCAACTCATATATCATCATGTCTGCTACCACTGGCAAGCGCGGCATCGGCATCAACGGTACGCTCCCGACAACAGCGGCGTGCTCACGTATTCCCCTCCTCCTCCTCCCCGCACTCACTGCCACTGTGGTACGAGGGTAGGCCTCGGGCGGATCGGCAAGCTCGTGCTGCAGATTAGCGAGGGCCGTGAGGGGTGCCCGGTCCAGGTTGTGGCCATCAACGACCCGTTCATGTCGTGCGGCGACATTGTGTACGCCATCAAGTACGACTCGGTCCACGGCCGATTTGCCGGCACGGTGGTTGAGGGCGACGATGGCGAGTCGGTGGTCATCAACGGGCGGCGGGTGGCAGTGGGATCGTCCAAGGAGCCGGCGGCGTGTAACTGGGCCGCGCACGGTGCGTCGATCGTGGTCGACTGCTCCGGCCAGTTTACCTCGCTCGCCGGTGCGTCGGAGCACCTCAAGGGCGGCGCTGAGCGGGTGGTGGTCTCGGCGCCATCCAAGGACATCCCGATGTTCGTGCTGGGCGTGAACGGCGACGAGCTGACCGCCGACGACCACGTTGTCTCAAACGCCTCGTGCACGACCAACTGCCTCGCGCCGCTGGTCAAGGTCGTTCACGACGCGTTTGGCATCGAGGAGGCCGTAGCCACCACCGTCCACGCCGCCACCGGCTCGCAGCGCATTGTTGACCTCAACAACAAGAAGAACCACCGGCTCGGCCGCTCCGGTATGCTCAACATCATCCCATCGACCACGGGCGCCGCTGCCGCTGTCGCCAAGGTCTTCCCTGCCCTCGACGGCCGCATCACTGGCATGGCCATGCGTGTGCCCACCGCAGACGTCTCGGTCGTCGACGTCACCATCAAGCTTGCCTCACCGGCCTCGCTCGACGACATCCACGCCGCCATGACCGCCGCCGCCGCCGGCGACATGGCCGGCATCCTCGGCGTCACCGCGGACGCCGTCGTCTCGACAGACTTTGTCGGCTCGACCTACTCATGTGTCTACGACGCCGATGCCTCCCTCGCCCTCTCCGACACCTTTGTCAAGCTCATCGGATGGTACGACAACGAGTACTCGTACACCGCCCGCCTCGTCGACCTCATCGAGCGCGTCGTTGCCCTCGCGTAGCAGCCCAAGCTCGCCCACGCCGATGCCGCCTCCCCCCTATCCGCAATACCCGCACCGATGACAACGATGCACAGAGGCTGGTCATGACCAGGCCCAGCAGATGAGCTGCTGCTGCAATAGACTGCTGTGGGAGGCTCCTCTCGGAGACTGCCATGGCAAGAGGTACAGCCTCTGTGATGGCTGCTCTGCGGCTGGCTCTGTAGCTGTAGCTGGCCCAGGCTCTGAGGGCGAGGGTGGAAAAAAACCGCTTGTCCAATATCACGTGGTATCACCCCAATTTCCATGGCGTTAAAAAACGTTGCACAGCCGACGAGAAATGGGCAAAGAGGGGGAGAAGGGCGAGAAGAGCGTGGGGGAGGGGGACAGCCACGGGCACCACGGGCCACAGCCCCGTCAGCCACGCATCGCCACACCCCTCCCCATCACACACACACACACACACGCTCCGCACACAACCCCATCTGCACACAGGTGGCTGCAAGCAGGCGGTGGGTGCAAGCATGAGCGTACCGCCACCACAACGCCGGGAGGCCTGTCCACCGACTGTGGGCCGACTCGCCGACGAGCGGCGTTCCAAGGGGAAATGTCCCCACGCGAGCCATCCCTCCGAGGCAGCAGTGGCCGCTGCTCCACGCAGCAACGGGCAGAAGACAACCATAATCAGAAACGACGTTCCATGGCATGGCCCTGGGTCATGCAAGCCGGCTGAGTCGCAGATGTGGTCGACGCAGCAGGCCGGGAGAGTCTGCTTGACACTGCCGGACTCAACAACGGCGGCTGGGGAGCCACGCCCACGCCCACGCGCATGCGACTTGCCCGGCCTGCACTCTGCGCACGCTCTGGGAGGGCTGCCGAGGCGGCAGCGAGGCGGAAGACGGCAGGGCATGGTGATGGCCGTAGCGGTGGCAGTGGCGGTACTCGTCGCGCTCCTCGTCCCACTGGCAGACGGCAACATTATCGAGCTGGTGCCGACCGGTACTGAGCCGCCGCACGTCTACGCCACGCCGACCATCCCCTTCCTTCTTACTTCGACGGTCAATTGCGCGCCCGAGCTGGCGGGCGCGATGCTGGAGACGACGGAGGGCTCGCGCCTGACAAGGTTCGCCCGCAGGCTCGACGACGTGTTTGCGTACGACATCGAGATCACCGTTGTTGACGCCTTGCTCCCGCAGGCTGTTTACGTCAACATGTCCGAGGCGATGCTGACCTGCGAATCAACGCCGTCGCCGCCGCTCTCGGCCAAGGCTATGTTTGACCCGTCGGCCCAGAGCTCTGACGACAGCGAGTCGCTGCTGGGAACCGTCCCAATGTGGGCCATCATTGCCGCGGCCTCTGCCACCCTCTGCTGCGGCATCTTCTGCGCTTGCGTCTTCAAGGCTGGCTCGCACCGCAAGCACCACATTGAGCCGCAGGAGGAAGAGTACATGGCCAACTCGCGGTCGGCAAGGGTGCTGGAGCACTCTCTTATCGCCCAGGGTTCAGAACTCGGCTCGTACAAGAACATGTCGTCCCATACCCTGGCGTCGGTAGCCTCGCCGCGATTCGTCTCAGACTCGACAGGTATGATGTCGTCGGCCGCGGGACGCGCAATGGACTCATCCAGTGTCGTCGCGCCGCGCTCCATTGTCGAGCAAAGGCGCGGCGACGGCCGCGGCCGCGCTGAGACCCTGCCGCTGGAGACCATCCACGAGCCTGTCGGCGCTGCAGCCGCAGGTGTCGGGCCCGGGCGAAAGCCGAAGCGAACTGACTCGCAACGCGCCCCGCCCCGCTCACCAAACATAACTCTATGCCACACAAGCTCCGCAAGGGCCGCTCCGGCCGCGGCCGTGACCTCCATCGCTCGCCGTCGTTTGTTCGCCGCGCCGCTGCCGCGGGCGGCGAAAACTCAAACTCACACTCCAACTCCAACTCGCCGCGCCCGCGTGCCGAGCAGGTCAAGTCCATGTCGCCGCGCGTCACCCGCTCGCCCACCCGCATGCGTGCCATCCTCGCCCTCTCGCAGGCCGAGCTCGAGAGCGAGCTCGTCCACGACTCGGCCAGCCCAGCCGTCGACAAGCGCTCCTCACGCCGCGACATTCACAAGCTGCATCGCTCCTACACGCGCACCATTGGCGCCCTTAACTCTTCGGCGCCTGCCGGTCACGCGCGGACTTCATCGGATGCGTAGTTCGGGCGGCTGCAGGCCATGGCATGTTATTGAATCTGTCTCTCTTCTTCTCTCTCCACGCTTGCGCACGTCCCGTTCACAGTAGGTACTTGAGCTGTGCTCACGACATCATGCTCGATCCGTCTTCCGACAACAAGTCGCCGAGCTCGACGCCCTGGACTGACGTGTCGCCGATCGACCTGGCGGTCTCGGACAAAACCGAGCTGTGCGAGCACTCGTGCGAGGTGGGAGACGCCCACAAGGCATCAGAAGCGGCTTGAGTCAAGCTGCGCTGCGACAAGCGGCGAATACGCGAGCCCGAGGTCCGTCGAGTGTGGGAGATCGAGACCGACCGCCGCACTGCCATCCGCTCACGAATGCTCGCCACCCGGTCTTTGACCGACATGGCCGATCGCGATTCACCCGACTCCAAGTCAGGGTTGGACCGCGTCGATTCGGCCCGCGAGACCGAGTTGGAGCGATCACGCTCCAGGTCAAGCACATTGGACACCGAGTTGTTGAGGCCAGAGCCCCGCGAACGGAACGCGGTCACCGAGCGGATTTTTGTCATTGTTCGCCCCTGCGTCCGGGACCGAGCCAATGTGTTGCGGGTGCGCGAGCGCGAGGACGAGCGCGCAACAGGGAAGGTTCGGTCCGGCGACCGCCGTTGCGCCGCAGCCTCGGTCAACCGCGCTACCAGCGCCACCGACGTCTTGGCCGAGTCGTGGATCGAGTACGTGAGCGGGATGGCGGTGGTCTGTGGCGTCGTCGCATTTGCCACTCCTTGCTCACCGTCGGCCGAGACTGCTGCTGCTGCCGCTACTGCTGCCCGCATCCCGATTGGTGTACCGGCGCGGATGCCGCGCGGCATTGCTTCTGCAAGACCCTGGTCAGCCTCTGGATCGAGGAGCTCGACGGCCTCGGCATTCTTGTAAAGCCGCCTCTCGGTCAGCGCCGAGGTGCGTCCAGCCAGCTCCAAAGGCAACAGCTCCCACACCTCGCACGTCTCGTGGATGCCGTCGAACGAGAGGCGGGCGATCGGAGTGAGGATGACGTCGACCCGCGGCGATTTGGGGCCGTCACGCGGCGAGCGCTTGGCGCTCGGCTGCCGCGACGCGGCGAGCGCGTCGACAACCGGGCGTGAGACCATGATCTGCCCACCAGCGCCAGAGTCAGTAACTAGTGTGGCGAGCTTGACCACTCGCCCAAAGTAGAGCATCCGCGCTGCGCGCTCATCAAAGGTGTGTGAGGCGGGGCCGACGTGGACACCCATCCGGACTCGCACCCCGTTCCACACGCTGGGATCCCCAGTCGGCAGCGCCTCGTTCAGCCATGCCGGCCACGCCGTTGCCATCAGCGCATCCTGCACGTAAACGCAGAACGCGATCACGTCCTCGACGTTGGTGTAGGCAACAAAGAACGCGTCGCCCTCGGTCTTAAACTCGTAGCCGCCGGTCGCCGCCATGGTGTCGCGCATGATGGCGTTGTGCGTCTCGAGCACGTCGATCATGGCTGCCGGATCAGTCTCCCACAGCATGGTCGAGCTCTCAATGTCGGTGGTGACGATAAAGACGTTGCCGGTCGGCGCCGCCTTGGTCAATTCCGCCTGGTGGGCTGCCACTGTTGCCGACTTGCGCGCACGATAGAGGTAGAGCAGAACAGCGAGGACGAGAAGGCAGAGAATGACAAGCGACGAGCCCATCGCCGCCGCCACCATGGGCGTCACCATCTTGGTCTCAGACTTGATCCGCGCCCGGGCGCACAAGCTTGTGCCAGCCGGCACACACAGACCGCATGGGTCCAGCTCAAGGCCCGAGTTGGGAAGGCCGTCGCAGCCGGCACACAAAGTGTTGTTGCCGTGGCACACGCTGCAGTCGTCTTTGGCGAGATTGGAGCCAAAGCAAGCGCCGCAATCATCCATGGCCGCATTCCCGCCGCGGCAAACGCCGCAAGCATCGCGATCGGCGTCGCCGCCAAAGCACACACCACATGAGTCGCGGTCAGCGTTGCCGCGGAAACAGATCCCGCAGTCGTCAAGGAAAAATTGGCCGTGGAGATGAGCGACGTCCCGCCCGTGCACGAGTTACAGTCGTCAACCGTGGCGGTACCGCTGCAGGTCCCAGTACAGTCGTAGGTGGCGGACGAGCCGAGGACTCCGTCGCAGCCCATGATGCACGACGTGCCGTCGCCGCCACAGACGCCGCAGAGATCAAAGAGCGCACCGCCATCAGAGACAAGGACCCCGTCACAGCCGACGCACGTCGAGTTGTCGCCGTCGCACACGCCGCAGGCGTCGAGACTCCCCGACGCGCAGGTTGTGCACGTCAGATCCTGACCAAAGCACACGCCGCACGAGTCGACATGGTAGTTGTACGGGAGCCGGGTTGAGATGTTGCCGCCGGCGCACATGCCGCAGTCATCGATGGTCGCATTACCACCGCACACGCCGTGGCAGTCAAACTGGATGCCCGAGCCGTAAACACCGTCGCAGCCAACGTAGCAGACTGTCGCGTTGCCGCCGCAGACACCACAAGCGTCGAAATGGGCACCACCAGACGGGATCGGCACCCCGTCGCAGCCGAGACAGGTCGATCCGTCACCGTCGCACACTCCGCAAACGTCGCGGACGAGGCTCGAGTTGGGCACCCCATCACAGCCGGCGCAGGTCGCGTTCGATCCAAAGCACACGCCACAGTCGTCCTTGTGCGCATTGGCGCCAAAGCATACACCGCAGTCGTCCTTAGCGGTGTTGCCGCCAAAGCACACGCCGCAATCGTCGCGGTCGGCGTTGGCCATGCGGCCCGAGTCGCCGCCAGAGCAGACGTTGCAAGCATCAAGCGATGCCACACCATTGCACGTCCCGGCACAATCCATGCCGTTCGGATGGGCGCAGGTGGTGCAAGGCGTGCCCGGGGTAAGGCAGGCATAGCCGGGCTCGAGCTGACATGAGGCCGAGCAGCCATCACCAGGCGATGCGTTGCCGTCGTCGCACGACTCGACACCGGCAATGACAACGCCATCTCCACAGGCGGCTGATGGCGGCGGCGGAGGAGATGGCGGCGGCGGAGGAGATGGCGGCGGCGGAGGAGATGGTGGCGGCGGAGGAGATGGTGGCGGCGGAGGAGATGGCGGCGGCGGAGGAGATGGCGGCGGCGGAGGAGATGGCGGCGGCGGAGGAGATGGCGGCGGCGGAGGAGATGGCGGCGGAGGAGGAGATGGCGGCGGCGGAGGAGATGGCGGCGGAGGAGGAGATGGCGGCGGAGGAGGAGATGGCGGCGGCGGAGGAGATGGTGGTGGAGGTGGTGAAGGCATCGGTGAACACGACGACGGGGCGGTTCCGGTGCAGGACCATCCGGCCTCGACAGCACACAATGACGAGCAGCCATCGCCGGCAACAGCTCCGCCATCGTCGCAGGACTCGGTGCCCTCGACATACCCGTCGCCACAGGTGACGGGGGCAGGGGAGGTGGTGTAGGTGAGTGGTGGGAACTTGCGCGGCTGGGAGCAGATGCCAGCTCCCGGGAGGCCACCACAGCCAATGCCGGCCTCGTTGGGCGACACCTCGCTGTCAAGGCGAAAGAGGCCAATCAAGCCGGTCTCGCATCCGGTGAGCGTAGCGAGGCGATCACCGTCGATCTCTGCTGCCGTCCGCGAGTAGTTCCACACCCGCATATCCCACATGCGATCGGCCACTTCCCAGCGCATGCGATAGTAGCCGATGTTGAGGCCGAGGCCGCTCGACGAGAGCGTGTATGGCGAGCTGCTCTGCTGCAGGACCAGGGTTGTCTTGGGCATGCCGTCAACAAAGATAGACCACGTTCCGGTGCCAGAGTCAAAGACGCCCGCCAGATGGACGTCGACGCCCGGCGATGCCGAGCCGGTCGGAGCTTGCGCCTCGTAGTAGCCAAACCCGCCGGTGGCCTGGAACCCAATGGTCCGGTGGGCCTCGTTCGTAGTGCCAGGCTGGTCAAAGATGTCATCGCCGAGAAAGCGGATGATAAAATCGGTGGTGGTGGAGTGGAACGAGAAGATGTCGACGCGAGAGGTCATGGCAGTGGTGTCGAGGCGGAGGTTGAACTCAAAGGTGGCGTCACCGACGATTTCCAGCGACGGCCAGCTGCCGGTCGGCGGCTCAGAGTACGAGCACTCAGGCGTGGCCAACGGCGACGGCGGACCGGGGCTTGATGCCGAAAACGTCTTGCGCGCCCAGTTGATCGAGTACCCGGTCCTTGTGGTGAAGCTGTTCGACTGGAAGACGACGACAACCTGCGAGGCCTCAAAGTACATGGTCTTGCCCGCAGCCTCGTTCCCGGTTACACGGATCTTGAGAAACTCGGCACTCGGAATGGTCGTCCCTTCGTAGATGTACATGTAATCAAAGCCGTTCTCGAGGTCAAAGGTGTTGAAGACGAGCTCGATGCCGCCATGGACAAAGTCAAAGGTGTAGCTGCAGTCTGCATTGTTGATGTAACTGGAGCCTGGCGTGGCAATGGTGCCTGATGTCGCGGACCCCACAGAAGTGTAGCTCTCATCAGAGCAAGCAAACACACCAGTGGCCAGGCAAAGTACGAGGAAAGCAAACCAACGCCCTGTCCTCTGCAACATGTTCTGCCTTCTGATGGCGTAGAAGTGCTTGCAACCACAGCACCAAAAAATGTGCGTCGTTGGGAAAAAAATGGTCGAGAGAACGTGAGGAAGGAAGTCGGGGGTGGTGGAGCAGCCCTAATTGCGACCAAGGTGGGATACAAGTCCACGGTGGTGTGCGGGGCAAGGGAGGCGGGAGGAGGGAGGGGAGGGGGGAGGGGAGGGAGGGAGGGGAAGGGGGGGGGGGGGT